AAAATGCCCAATTCACTCATTTTTTTTGTTCAATCTTATTATATATATATATTTTTTTTTAGGAGATGGCAAAAATAGTAGAACTATCATTGAAATGTGACATGTTTTGCAATTGGAGGAAGGCAGTGTACGTGCTCGGCTGGAGAAATTTTGGAATGTTTTAGGATGCCGATTCATACTGCCAGCAGCAGAGGCAAATGCCAGAGGCGCCAATATGTAATGGAGAGGATGGAAAGAAAGAACAGACGCTGCAACCCCCCCCCCCCCCCCCCCCCCAAAAAAAAAAACTTTGCCCTTCTCCAAAGAAAGATTAAACGCAACTACCACTTTTACCTGCACTGCCATCATTTGCCTCCCTTTTACCTTTCCCGTGCAAAGTGTGCCCTGAAGAATTTGCCCCATAATCAGGAATCCTCCAACAGGCATAACAAGCTGGCTGAGTAGCTGATGGATTTTGTTTATTTTTATAAGATGCACAAAAGTGACACTACTAAAGGGAATAGGCAGTCCGACTCCCTGGCATAGCCAATACATGATATACTGGTACCGGAAATTCAAATGTAGCATTACAACGCCTAAAGCTAACCATATATGCATCAAAATTCAGCTGGTTCAGCAGGAACCGGACAAATTTCAATCCATGTATGGAGGTTCCCGTTCAAGAGGAGTTGATTTAGTGATCAACCGCTTCCAAAAGGGACGGCCTGTATATTTTCACAGGATCAGCACTAGCAGCCAATCAGCTGCGGAGCTGATCAGTGTATTCTGGTAGCAGAGTCCCCGCTACCAGAATACAAGAGCTGCGCAGCTGATCAGTGTATTCTGGTAGTGGAGTCCCCGCTACTAGAATACAACAGTGCAGTGGGGGGATTCCCCCATCTACCTCGAATGTGTGGATGGAGAAATTGGTTCACGGTTTTTTTTTTTTTTTCTTGATCAGCTGACTGGCCAATTTATAAAAAAAAAAAAAAAAAAAGGATCTATGGACAGTTTTAGTCTATGCTATTTGTATGGTAATCAAATGCGCAAGCTGCTGTGTATGCAAAAGCCATTTTAAAGTGCACCTTTCACATATAAAAGGTACAGACCTTTTCCTTGTTAAGCAACATGCACATGGATGCATTTGTATGTGCAACATAAAGACACTGCACATTTTTGGTGCCCTGGACATCCTGGAGCTGCACACAGCCACCCATAGAGATACATGAATAAAGGTGTCTGTACACAGCTATGCTAGGTAGCACATGCACACATACGTATGCACCAAATGCAGTTAATGTGCATTACATTTATATTTACAGCGGCCTTCACCCATTCATGTCCATGGGCATCTACAGGACATCCCAGGAAACAGAAATATGCAGCGTCTCTATACTGCAGGGGCAAACGCATCCATGTGCATGAAACATTATAAGGACCGCTAACCCTAAAATCACAGGTACCAATGTTTTTGGATAAATATGTAAAGGTTTCAAGAGATTCTCAGAATGGATGGAGTACAGTCAGGAGTGATACCGGTCACTGGCTTCCTGTTTCCCATTGCCATAGAAGCACTATATCCATTTCCTTACAGTGACAGCTTACAGACTGCCAGCAAAGACACAAACAGCAAATATGCTCATTTCTGCCTCACACAATTGGCAATGCATTCGTGATTCCCCACTAATGATACCTTTTGTTTTGAAGTTTAGCGGCCCTTTAAAGTAGACCTAGACTCAAAAGTAAATAGTCATATTTACAGGATGGATAAAGAGTACCTGAAAAGCTGCAATACTCTTCCCCCCCCCACTTTAAATGTCTCTTTAGGTCTCCTCCTGTATTGATCATTGGCACTCCTTTCACAGTATCTGCCGATCACAGGCTACTTTCACACTGCTCAGTTGCAAAAACACACGTGTTTTAGCTGAGTTTTGCACCTGTAAAAAAAAAAAAAAAGAAAATAAAAAAAAAAAAAAAAAAAAAAAGACGTCTCAATGCATCAGAAACGCAACCAAGGTGTGTATTTGATGCTTTTTTTTTTTTTACACTGCACCAAAAATGCAGCAAGCAGGACTTTCACAAACGCAACAGACCCTCAACTGATCAGTGTGGAAAGTTCCAGGAGAATTAATGGTCAAGCCTTTTTCCTAATTTTTTTTTTTTTTTTACACAAAAACTGAAGTAAAACAGAGCAGTGTGAAAGCAGTCTGAACCCTGATCTTCCTCTTCAGTAGGGATCACAAGACCGCATAGCTAAGCTGCTGATGACTGATTGGAAGGAGCCTGGAACAGCAGTTTCTCCAAGTCAAGGAAGTATTTCATGATATCTTTTTATCTCTTCCAGCAAGAGTATTAGGCCCCTTTCACATGACCATTCCAATCAGGCTGTCTTCAGGTGGACCTGATCAGAAGGTCCACTGATCTCTATGGACTTGTGTCCGTTTACACCCGCCTACCTCCGATCTGGTCAACTAAAAACAAAATGGAAGAGGATCGGTTTTCTTCCATATAGGTGGATCGAAGGTAGACAGGTGTAAACTGACAGCAAGTCCATATACACCTGGTTGCCAACAGAGCACAGTGGGCTCGGTCTGTGTCCACTCTGCATAAACTTGAGTGGACACGGACCTGTCATCTGCCCACTTTCCTCAACAGGGGATCAGCGGGCAAATCCCCTGCTGAGCTGTTCAGATCTGCCACATTCTATGGCCAAAGGAATGTGGACACCTGACTATCACACCTACACTGTATGGTCAAAAATCAGTGGAAACACTTCCAAACTGAGTTCAGCTGTTTCCAATGAATGGTACTATTAATACGATGGCATATTAAAATATTTTAAATAGTGCATTTCCAAACTTGTGGGGACAATTTGGGGAATGCCCATTTCTGTTCCAGCATGGCTGTATCACTCCCTACAAAACCAACTCCATAAAGACATGGTTTGAGGAGACTGCTGTGGAGAAACTCAAACAGCAGCCTCACCGAGCCTTGAACTCTACCCTACTGAATGCCTTTGATTTGAATTGAAACGCAGAATGCGAACCAGCTCTCCACAAAAGCCGGCCTTACAAGAGCTTTTTAGATGTCCGTAAATTCTCACAGTCATGCTTCAAAATCCAGTGGAACGTTTTACCAGAGGAGTGAAGACCGTTATAGCCTAAGAGACCAGGCAGATATCGTATGTACTCTCCAGCGCCTCAGGATATGCACAGCCAAAATGGAAGCCAAGGGTACCAGGACAGCGACAACCAAAGGAAATGCTTCAGGGGTGCAGCCCTCCTCCTACGGGGAAATCAGCCACTGGATAGAGAGAAAACAGGTGGCGCACACACCTAGTGCATTATCCAAGGTTTATTGTAGGAGTGAAAGAATAAAAACATACTCACAGACGAAGCATGTATCTAAAAAGCATAGAAAAATGACAATGGCCACAACGGCAGGCAAGGTGTTCTCACTGTCAGTGCGGTCAAATGGCTGACGCGTTTCGGGGACGATTCCCTTTCCTCAGAGCCTGAGGCATCAACAGCAAGGCTCTTACTTTCCATTCATCATACGTCAGCATCAGAGGTTGGTCATCATTTTTCTATGCTTTTTAGATACATGCTTCGTCTGTATGTTTTTATTATTCTTTCACTCCTACAATAAACCTTGGATAATGCACTAGGTGTGTGCGCCACCTGTTTTCTCTCTATTAAGAGACCAGGCAAATTCATATTGACGCCCATAGTTGAGGAAGAAGATGTCCAAGAAGCTCGATAGATAGATAGATGTCCACACACTTGTCTATAAAGTGCAGCTTTATGTTAATATCTCTGTAGGTTCTCACTTAAAAACAGATGAAAGAAAAATGTTCCTTGAGCCCCCCAGAAAAAAAAAAAATAAATGCTTACCTCCACTCAATACAATGACAGCTATACTCAAGATTCAACTGAATTTCTCTGCGCACATACACACAAACAAAAACATAGAAACAGAGAAAAATGTACACCCTCTTTGTATCATAAATATCTAAATAAAAATATTCCACATGTTAAATATATACAGAACTATTTCACAGACAGCCAATAAAAAAAAAAAAAAAAAAAAAAAAAAAAAAAAAAGACGACGTACAAGCTTTATACATATATCTTTAGCTGTCTACTTCTACCGCCTGGGTAAGCTCTGGCTTTGTCTAACTCATTCGCTAGCTAAGACTGTGTGATTATTACACATTTTCCTTGTTTTCATTTGAGTTATATCCAAAAGGGTCCAAGGAAAAACCAAGCTACCACTTGGCAGTGTGGCGATCGGAGAAAGAGGAAATTTCTGTAGAGTGTACGAAGAGTGACTTTATGGTCTGTAAACAGGTTGAGAATCTGGATTTTTTTTCACCCCCCCCCCAAAACGGAATTTCACACACATGCCAGATTATCGATTCTGTAACGAGACACCGACATTGCTCTACGTCGTCATCAATCAATAGTCTACAGTAGTCATGCGTTATGTTACAGCTAGCGGCCTGCAGGCCTTTGCAGCATGTGGTGATCATCATCTAGTGTGGCGTCATGAATCAGAGCGGACTAACCGCCTTCACACGTTGTGTTGTTTCACACATACTAGCATGGCGTCCTAGCGTTCCTAAATCACCGCACTAGAGAGGATTGCTCAGCCACATCTATGACCAAAACCATATTCACCTTGTGTAAACCATCTATATATTTCCATTAAATAAAATGTCAGCTGCGCTTTTGTTTTTCTTTTTTTTTTTCTCTTTAAAGTAGCGCAGAGGTGGAAGGCTTTAGGATTAAAGATGGTTCTTTCCATGGCTTCAGCTCACAAAAATGCTCCTGTGAGAAAGGCATCTGAAGCACTTCCTGGGTCGGACTCCTCGAAAACGGTGTTTGGTGCCCGTTTACGGAACGTGAAACCCTTTATGCTTTCCATAAATACCAAATAGGCCAAAAGTGCAAGAGAGTGTTACATGCCTTCGCACCTAGCCACCAGGACATCCCATACGACAGGGAGAGGGTTGGCAGATGCTATAGGCAGTCCTTGCAGAGTGCAACCTGTCCTTTCATGTAGTCCCTGCATGGACAGACCCGCTTGTGGTGGGGGTGGGAACCTGCACAGCTGAATAATAAGAGATCGCCTTGAAAGACGCAATGCTTCTTGTTCTCATCGATGGACGGGACCACAATATCATTTGCGGTGTCAGAGGTCTGGCAGTGAATGTTGAACCTGGGGATGAAATCAATAGGATTATGTCAACATAACAGTGTTCATTACACCCTGTTCCAAATTATTATGCAAATTCTATTTAAGTGCCACAAAGATTAAATATTTTGTTTTTCAGTTTAACTCATGGATGGCATTGTGTGTCAGGGCTCTTTTGATCAGTGAAAACAATCTCGGACACCTGTGATAATTAGATTGGCCGGTGAGCCCAATTTAAGGAAAAACTACTAAAGGAGGGTGTTCCACATTATTAAGCAGAGCACCATTTTCAAGCAATATGGGGAAGAAAAAGGATCTCTCTGCTGCTGAAAAGACTGAAATAGTTCAATGCCTTGGACGAGGTATGAAAACATTAGATATTTCACGCAAACTTAGGCGTGATCATCGCACTATTAAGAGATTTGTGGCTGATTCAGAGCACAGACGGGTTCGTGCAGATAAAGGCACATTGAGGAAGATTTGTGCCAGATCCATGCATCGGATCAAGAGAGCAGCTGCTAAAATACCATTACATAGCAGCAAACAGATATTTGAAGCTGAGTCCTCCAGAGTCTTGCAACTGTGCATAAACCTTCTATTCTGCCACCACTAACCAATGCTCACAAGCAGAAACGGCTGCATTGGACAGAAAAATACATGAAGACAAATTTTCAAACAGTCCTGTTCACTGATGAGTGTCGTGCAACCCTGAATGGTCCAGATGGATGGAGTAGTGAATGGTTGGTGAACGGCCACCCTGTTCCAACAAGGCTGCGACGTCAGCAAGGCGGTGGTGGAGTCATGCCCCTTTAGGGTCCCCGAAGGTGTAAAGATGACCTCTGCAAAGTATGTGGAGTTTATGACTGACCACTTTCTTCCCTGGTACAGAAAGAAGAACTATGCTTTCCGTAATAAAATCACCTTCAAGCATGACAATGCACCATCTCATGCTGCAATGAATACCCCTGCATCAATGGCTGTTATGGGGATAAAAGGAGAGAAAGTCATGGTATGGCCTCCATCCTCCCCTGACCTCAATCCTATTGAGAACCTTTGGAGCATCCTCAAGCAAAAGATCTATGAGGGTGGGAGGCAGTTTACATCCACACAGCAGCTCTGGGAGGCTATTCTGACATCTTGCTAAGAAATTCAAGCAGAAACTGTCCAAAAACTCACAAGTTCAATGGATGCAAGACGTGTGAAGCTGCTATCAAATAAGGGGTCCTATGTTACAATGTAACGTGATCTGTTAAAATGTTTAAAAAGTTAAAATGTTGTTAAAAGTTTGATTGAAATAGCTTTTGATTTCAGTAAATATGCTGCAAACACAACAATGACAATTTTCAGTTCTTTACAACCTATAAAGTGTTTTGAAACTTACTGTGCGTAATAATTTGGAACAGTTCATTGGAAGTGTTTTATGTTTAACAAAAATCCTTTTATCATTAGGAGGTTTGTTCAATAAAATTTGAATTGTAATCTTAATAGTTGATAACATGAGAATTATGTTGAGAATTAGTTACATCAATTATTTAGGTAAATGAGAAAATATCATTTGCATAATAATTTGGAACAGGGTGTACACTTTGGATAATATTAATCACGTGAGCTCCGGAAGACTTTGCCCCCTTCATGACCAGACCATTTCTTGCTGTTCGACACTGCACTACTTTAACTGGTAAATGCGCAGTCATACAATGCTGTATGCAAACCAAATTTATATATTTTTTCACACAAATAAAGCTTTCTTTTGATGGTATTTGATCACCTGTGGATGTTTTTTTTTTTTTTGTGATATAAATGCACAAAGACCAACATAACAAAAAAAAAAACACCCCCCAATATTTTTTACTTTCTGCTATAAAAATTAAAAAAAAAAAAATCTAATTTTGGCCAAAATGTATTCTGCTACGTCTTTGTAAAAAAAAAAAAAATCCCAATAAGTGTATATTGATTGCTTTGCGTGAAAATTATAGTGTCTACAAACTATGGTATTGATACTGGAATTTTTATACTACTAATAGACCCACTATAAGTCGCTGTTTGCCACCAACAGACGCTGGGGGGGAAACTAACTTCTCCAGTGACACTCATTGCCAATGATATACACTGTCACTGTACTCTTAAAGACACTGGCTGGCGAGGGATTAACATCTAGGGAGATCAAGTGGTTAAATGTGTGCCTAACCATGTTTAGAGTGTGTGCTGTTTTACTAAGCAGTATGACAATTTTTATGCATCAATTTGCAGAAGAAAAAACAAAACAGCATATAGCTTCTGTCTGGAGAGAGCCCTGTGTTGTTTACCAACATAGGGCTCTCTTCTGTCATTGCCTCAGCGGGTCCAGACCATAAATCATTGGCCAGGACCCGCTGATCGGCTTGTGCTGCAACAAATGACAGAACAGTCTTTTGGGTCAGCACGTGCAGGCACAACCGGACCCAGAAGAAAGCCACAACGTACAGGTACGTCATGGTGTCTGTACAAGCCGACCTGCTGCAGTAAATGTACTGTGGTGGGTCAGCAAGTGGTTAAAGTTTTCAGAGGGGGGAATCACCAGCAGAGTAATTTGTATTTGATAATGAAAGTCTAGACCTAAATAATACTTAGGAACATTTATATAAAAAAATTAGTCTCTAAACTGTGCATGTTTTTATTTTCTAATAAATATCAGTAATAGTCCCTGAAAGAAACACTGTGGCTGCCATGGCAGGCTCTCTTAAAATGGCAGATTGTCACATCCTGAATCCTCACCTAGAGCAGAATGACATACTTGAACTGCTACTTCCTGGGAGGTTTACACCACATATCCCAGATGGCAGCGTGCTGGAAAGCTGCCATAGTCCATGGCTAATCTGCACATTCATGGAAGGGAACCGGCGCATCTGCAGACTTTCTGTGGGCCTCCGCCAGGGCTGTGATCCCCGACAGAAACCCATGCTGTGGTTGCGAATGCACCGAATGTCCCTTCGATATGGCAATGCTGGGAGGAGCACAGAGCAAGGGGATTTAAACTGTAAAAAAAACCCCTCAAGATTCCATGACTTTTGTATGTGTACTTTTTTATATTTTTCATACAGGGACAAATTATAGGGATTTTAAATTTTATTAAGGATAGCTATATGGGGAGTTCATCTTAGTCATTGATCCAAGACCAGTATGCAGATGAGAAAAGTCATAATAAAGTCAGAAGTCTTTATTCGCCTACTAATCTTTGGTCAGACACTCAAAAGAATGGAAGCAAGAGGCTCGGCATGACAGCCTTCATCGATATCTCATGGAAGGATCCAGTCACCTCTCATATCAAGTAGTAAAATTACAAGTATGCAAGGATAGCTACAGATGCAGGAAAGACCAGGGACAGTGGGCCTGTCAGGAATGGACTTGCCAGTAATGGTGGGACTCACCTGCCTTGTGGGCTGCAGTACCAGGGCTGGCCAGCGGGTGCTCTCAGCAATCAGAGACTCAACCCTGCAGTCAGCCAAAACACCTGAGGCCAATTACAGGTGTATTTAAGGGATGGCCAGACCTGCAGTCTGGGCCTTGGTGTGTGTTTTTCTATGGGCCCCTGTATCTAGTTACCTGCATCCCTGTTCCTGTCTGATTCGTTGCCGACCCTGCCTGATCCGGACCTCTGCTGACTTCTCCTGGTTGATCCCTGGCTTGTGACCCCGACCATTCTCTGCCTGACCCCCTGTACCTACCTGCCCGTTAGTTGCTGTACCCGGCTCGTGACCTGACTACTCTCTGCCTGCTCCTCCTGTTCCTACCTGCCCGATTGTTATTGACCCGGCCTGCCTGACTACGCTTGTCTTGTATGTATTGTTATCTGTGGGTGGTTTGGTTTGGTTCGTTTGCACTGTGTTATGTTTTAGTATTGCACTGCGTTTATGTATTGTTAGTATTAATAAATCATTTATAACATATCTGAAGCCTGCGTTTCCCTGCATCAGTTCACATACCTCTAGTCATACCGTGGAACCCCGACAGGGCCATGGTGCCAGAAGGAGAAACTGCTAGAATACTCCCAAGCCGTAGTGGCAGGCACTGGATGAGCTCTACGCTCTCTATATTACACAGGATACATATGCATTTCTGATAAAAATATAAATATTTATGACCGTTAAAAAGTATGTAAAGAGCCCACCCTGTGGTGGATGTATTCTCTCTGCTGGGGAGATAGCTGCCTTAGAGCTGGAGAGCTATAAATCCCAGCATGCCCTGTCAGATTGTCAGTTACCCCACATATACACTCTGGCTGTACATACTTGGCCAAGTCTTTGTCTTTGTTAAGATGCTGGAAGTACGACGGTTCACAGATGAGCTGATTCTCCTGGCAGACTTGCTTACATGACTTTCCAGTTTCTGAAAGTTTCACTTGAAGGGCGCTTAATGGAGGCCACATGACTTGTCCATGACAGAAATCCTAAAAGAGAAACAGCTTAGTGACTCGAAAAAATACAGTAAGAAAATGCAATGGGGAATAACCTACATTCATCCATGTGTGGTAGTCAAGTGCAAGGAATTCTCAAACTGAACACCCAACCATCTCTTACATAAAGACAATTACTGGGCAGCTGCTGGGCATCTTTTCACAAAACTAGGTTTTAGTCTTTAAGAAATGATTTCAGATACAAGAATAAATTAGTCAGGTTTTTTTTTTATAAGATGGAAAGTCATCCAGGAGAAATCGAAAGTCCACATTTTTGTTAAATTTGTATGGAATAGAGAATGGTTCGTACCCAGTCAGATTTTTATTGTTGTCTGTGATTCAACCCATTTATCCTGATGACCACTGTACTGTCAGTTTTGGGGAAATTTCCTCTTACTTCCTGTTGTGTCTATGGAACAATAAAAGGAAGGACATCTCCTCAATGGGACACAGATAGCATGAAAGGCTGACTGCAGCTTTAATTAACCACTTGCCGTCCGCCTGCTGTTTATAAACGGCAGGGCGGCGGCACTCCAGGGGCGGGTTGCCATTCATAAACGGCACCCGCCTTTTCTAGCTGTGCGCGCTCCCTGGAAGCGCGCAGCACCGCGATCCGGTGCCCGCTGTGTCCTCCGGACACAGTGAGACACCGATCGTCGGACGGGACCTCTGTACAAGGTCCCGATCCTGTGATCACTGATTGGCCAATCAGTGATCACATGCAAAGTAGTAAGCAAGATGTCACTTGTGACATCATTGCTTACGTGTGAAATCTGTGAATGATCACAGAGGTCACATGGTACAAGGCTATTCACAACAGCCTTGTACCATGTGACAAGCTGTGACCAATCACAGCTCACTCAGTACTTCTCAATGAGTGCAAGAAAGCAGACAGAGAGAAAGAGAAATTATTGCTTTTACATCCTATATGGGTGTAAAAGCAATCCGTGTGAAAAAAAAAAAAAAAAATCTTCATCACCCCTCACAAGTAGTACAGTGTCACCATGGTGACACTGTACTGCTAGGGTGACAGTATGTAAAAAATAAAAATATAAAAAAATAAAATAAAAATTAAAAAAAAAAATGTTTAAAAATTATAATTTTTAGTTATAAACTAATTTGGATTTTGTTTTACACTAAAAAAATAACGGAATAAATTTTGGCCAAGATTTATGAAATATTTATTTGCAAAATTTTATAAAAAAAAAAAACTTTTCAAAATTTTTGAAAGTTTTCATTTACATAAATACCACCAAAATAAAGCTATCTGTCTCAAAAAAATGGTAAATAATTCATATGGGTACAGTGCTGCATGACCGCGCAATTGTCATTCAAAGTGTGATAGCGCTGAAAGCTGAAAATTGCCCTGGACAGGAAGGGGGTAAAAGTGTCCGAACTTGAAGTGGTTAAAGAAGTTCACCAGGGTTAGCATGTACCATGTGGCAGTTGCAGCAACCCCTAAACCCCCCCCGATGTGACAGCGAGTGGGGGAACCTTCTCCCTGAACTCGCTTTCACAATTTAAAAAAGATGCGGTTGTGCGGGGCTCCGCCCACCTGGCTGCGTCATTCATTCACAGTTGAAGGGGAGAACTACAAGTCCCGACAGCCTTTGCAGCTGACAGTAGTTCTTCATGAACTACCCGGGTGTTGTTGAGCACTCTAGGAAGTTCAGCGATACTTCCTGTCAATGTGTAACTGCATGCCTGTGTGAGGTACAAGGAGACGCTTACATTAACCTCAACACCGAGGAACCCTTGAAATAATTTTCTAGTCTCAGGGAACCCCTGGAAAAAAAGACCATATCTACAACTCCTCATGCATTAGTGTGTGATGGTCAGCGGGAAGAATGCTCCGTGCACTTGTGGTCATTGGGAAGCATTACCTACTTACAGATAGCTAAAGGATCAATGGTGTCAGTGGAAAAAGTTATCTGAAAGGCAGAATTTGCTCAAAGAACCCTTAAGCAACTGTTGGAGGAACCCTGACTTACACTGACAGTCTGCAGGAGCCCTGCATTGCACCCAAGAACCGCCGATTGCGGGTACAATACTTTGAAGGCTCCTAGTAAAAATAAATATACTTCTTTTTTTTTACCTGCAAAAGGATGTGCATTTATAAAGGTGAACTTATACTTTAACCTTTCACTATTCAATCTAAAAAATGTCTATCGCTGCTGTAAATCACTTACTGCTAGTGGACAGGTGTCTGCTTGTGAGATTCTTTGTGAGCACCACTAGCTTCAGCAGGGGTGACTACCTGTGCCTGCTGAATCGTTACATCTACTCCATAATTAAATCAGCCATATATGGTTCGAAGTTCGGCCGGTTCAGCAGGGACCAGTTGAGATTCGAACCATCTATGGGCAGGCTACTTGTACCCAAGTCGATCGATCGGCTTGGGTATGACAGTCATGTTGGATTTTTACATTTGATTGTTGCCAGCAGCTTATAGCCATTAGCAGTCACTGTGTTCTCCTGGGAGGGACAGCTCACCGCGTCCCCCTCACTGGGAGAACACAATAGCTTCATGGGAGGGACTCCCCCATCAACACTGACTGTGTTGATAAGGGAATCAAGTTATTTTTTTCAACCAAGGTTTGCAGGAAAGAAAAATCAAATCATCTACAGCCTGACCAAGCAGAATGTAACGGCTGATTTTGAAAGCCCAAAAAACTTCAAAATAGAGCCCTCAGCCCCCACCAGACTCCACCTAAAATGTACTATTTCTGGGTGGTTGAATCCTTTAATATGAAAAAAGTATTGAAGTGGTTTGTATTTTTAAAGTGCATAAAAAAAGGCACAATCTAAAAAAACACATTACCCGTAGAAAACACACCTAAATGCAGTCATGCTAAAAATAGGACAAAAAATACATTTGGCTATCTAGCTTGCTAAAGGGTTCAAAGGGTTTGTAGCCCCAAGCGAAGAGATTACTTCTAACATTTATACCAGACATCACTATATGGCGGATCGTGGCCCAGATCCGATCACTGTCCCATCTGGACTGCAGAGGTCGTGCCATTGAACCTCCCTAGCGGTCTGATTAAGTTCAGATTTCTGTGCTCAATGTGGTACCTTTTTTTGCATGGAAATATGTATTTTTTTTTTTATTGTAGGCCTGTAATTTTTGGGAATAACTCACTGAAATCTGTCCGAACAAGAGTCTAGTAAACATCCCGGGTATGTTAAAATTTGAAACACGAAATCAAATAATTTAATAATCATAAAAATAATATAATACATTTAATTCAATAATATAATCAAACCAAAAACACTGAAATTTGAAATATAGCGCCAAGTTCGCACATCACTGAGCTTAGTCGCAAAATTGTTTTCAGTGTCTGATGACGAATTTCCCCCACGAATCATTATCACTCAATTCTGCAAGTGGTTCTAATTTACTATCGCTGTTCTCTAGCCGGTCTAAAACCGATTTTGACCTAAAGGGAAACTTTTTGGATGCCATGGACGTTTCTCAGTTTCCAGGCAGAAAGAACAGTAAAAATGCAGGCAGGGCACAGGACAAAGCACTCGGGACAAAATGTATGTGAAATGCTTTGATACAGTAATGTTATACTATGTTATTTTAGTGAATGTCACTTTTTGTCATTTTCAAATTTTCCCGCAGTTCCGTCCCCCGTACGTCCTGACGTCGCAGGGGACGGAACCCAGAAGACAGATGCCGGCATCCGCCGGAGGACATTACAGGGGTCACTGCAGGAGGGACATCGCGGGAGCGCAGGACAAGGTAAGAGAAGAACAGATCTCAGAGCAGCGCTGCAAGGTATTCCCGAGTGTAGCTCGGGGTTACCGCTTGTGGTATTGAAACTTTACCCCGAGCTACACTCAGGAATACCGCCAGGGAGGCCAGGGAGGCTACGAGCCGGTTCTTCCCCCAGCTATCACCGTTGTCATCCTCAAAGAGCCCATGGTGGGAGGCTGGAGAGTTCTTGACAGAGGGCAGGAGCTGTTCGAGTTAACAAGCAGGTGACTGGTTGCTAGGATGTTGGGCGGTCTTGGCAAACAATCACCAGCTTGCAGCTCCCACCCTCTGTTCAGACGTGCTGTGCCCCCCACCCTCCTGTCTGTGTAAGGTAGGACAGTAAGGGGGATAGTGAAGTGAAAGGGGGGGCATAAGAGCAGCAATATGAAGGGGGTATGATGTGAAAAGGGAAAGTTTACACTGCAAGGAAGAGGGGGCAGAGTACACTGCAAGGAAGAGGTGGGGGGTGTACTGTTAGGGGGTGTTTATGTCAAGGGAGTGTGAGAATACTACTCTGAAAGGGGTGAAGGGGGGGAATGTGACAGGGTTGCTGAGAACACTACTGTGAAGGAGGGGGGAATCTTGATATGAAGGCCCAACGAACCGATGTGAAGGGGGAATGAAAACACTGATAAAAGAACGGAACTGTGATATGAGCCTATGTTTAGGTCTATACAGGCACATTTATGCACACATGTTGTGGGTAGATCAGCCCATTTAATAGGCTGCACTACCCACAAGGACTGCAGGAAAAGCAGTCCTCAACCCTGTTTTTTTAAATTGGTGTCGTGGCGATATGCGGTTTGGCGTGCGTGAAAGGGCCACAGGTGGAAATATGTGGGGGTACTCCTGAACATCTGCTAAAATGCAGTGCACTCCTCTGTGGGTCGAAGACGTGTGATTTTGAGTGCGTTCCCCAGCTGCAGAGATGGGAATCTAGACTAAGAAGAGAGGGAAGCTGTGATATGAAGAATCTGAGTCATGACACAAACATGCGATTTGGACCTCTGCTGGAAGAAAATATTACTGACTGGACCTCAAGTTCTAATTCTATACCCCTGCTTTACACCCTTCAAAGCACAGAGATCACCCCTAACCTTTACACCCACCTAGGAACAGATCACCCATGATCTTTATATCCCTAGGCACAGAGGTCACCCCTTTTACACCCTCCTAAGCACAGAGATCACCCTATCCTTTACACCCCCAAGCTCAGAACATCCATAATCGTAAAAAAAAGAAAAGAGAAAAAAAAAAAAAAAAAAAAAAAAGATTTCTTTTGTGCTAAAACAAAACTGTAAATAGCAATGAAATCTTCGTATATTAAGCATACCTTAACTCAAAAAACTGACATGTCTGTGCTGAACCTAACTGACCCAGGCGGTTGTCATGCCATTTGACTCATCTCTTTGCCAGGTAGGATGATTGCGCTTACCTGTTTCTCAATGAAGGCGTTCACCCGCTGCAGCATGCCCTCGCATGTGAATTCGTAGGGCAGGTAAGGTTCATTCTGTAAAGAGCAAAAGCCGTGTAACTTCATTTGTCACTTCAAGGAGCAATCAGCAGCTCAAGTGAAACCGGATTAATATTTTAGTACAAGAGTTGACTCTCTTGTGCTAACAGAGCAGAACCTGACGATTTTACTGAGTGTTCGGTTTTATTAAAGGACTTATCCCTTCACAAAAGCCAGTATTTACCAAGCATCCCATGGGGTGGCCCATCTTCTTGGCACATACACAGTGCTGGCAAGAACATCTTAGATACCTAAAACCATTCCTTTAAGAAGAGCTTCAGTTAGTTCAGCAAAAATTAAAAGTCAGTAGCTACAAAAACTGTAGTTGCTGGCTGTTAATACACATTTACTCACCTGCCCAAGTATCCAGCGCTGTCTTCACCCAGATCAGTTCTTTACCGGTCTTCAGACACCCGATGCTGGCATGTTAACTGTGGGCAGCTAGCTGACTGACTCCTTGCGGCTTTACAACCAGCTGCAGTTTGTGAATGGTCCCGTAGCCTTACACCTGTGATAAGTCCCAGAAGACTGCGTGCAGGGAAGGGGAGCGGAACTTCCAGTGGATCCGCTGCAGCAATCCAACTGAAAGTGGGAGTGGGCGCCTGTCAAAACCAGGTATCCGCTTTGCCCACCTCCTGCAAAAATATATTCCATTCCTTTTGGGCAAAGTTCCACTTTACCAATCCCTGTTGTGTTTATAAAAATATGAATTATTGGCATTTATAAAAAAAACAACAAATCATACATTCATTGCAAGTGATATACACAACAAAGATCGATCAGTTTGGTCGAGTTCAATAAGACTTTCCAGTCAGGACTGAACTCGCCTATCCTAAAATATTTGTCATTCTAACCGCCTGTCTAGTATAGCGATTTCCAGAAAGGCAATTCTTCAAACTATTAATATAGCATAATAACGGTATAGTTCTAGACGGATATATCCTAGTTCTGATAGGATAAAGTGATTTTTGTAATGAACACAACTTAATTAGATTTTTTCACATATGACAGGAGTTTTGCTTAAAGTGAATCTGTCATTGCCTATTCAGAGCAAAGTGATTACCCTCGTGCCACAGTGTTTGCCTAGTGGAGCAATTGTAATCCCTGTGTCATTCAGAGTTATGATTGTAAGGTATTTTCCCTAAAATAAAGGAGATTTATACTTGCCTGCTCTGTGCAATTAAAATTGGACAGAGTGGCCCCTTACCGCCTTTTCTGAGGTCCCCAGCTGGTGCTCCCTGCTCTTCCCCTCCTGGGTGTACCCCATAGAAAGCAGCTTGCTATGGGGGTACACCGAGGAGGGGAGGAGCAGGGAACACTGGCTGGGGACCCCAGAAAAGGAGGTAAGAGGCCGTGTGGGTGTGCTTCTGAGCTGTTTTACATGCATCCACAAACACACAGAGCACAGCACAGCTCGGGCCCCCCACCCCAATCCCACCGCTCTCTCCTCACTGGATGTGACTGACAGCAATGGCTCCCATTGCTCTCAATTTGGCCTGTGAGTTCAGGAGCAAAGATCAGCACTTCTGCAGATGGGCACAGCACTGGATCAAGATAGAACTCAGATATTAGAGGGTTTCATGGTGTGAGGAACATTGATTGAGACAATATTTACCCTAACCCAGGGATTGCATCAAGTTAAAACATGTCTTGATTTTATAACCACTTTAAAGAAGAATTCCAGGTATGGATATTTTTATATAGTTACATTGTTCCAGCTTGGACCAATGTAACTATGCATACACCATACCTGGCCAATGCCCCTGGCAGCTGGAAATCACTGTATTACACACCACTACTACAGCGATCTTCACTAGCTTTCGGGGTCCCATGCTGAGTAACTTCCCACTGTTGGCCGCTCAACATGGGTGCCATTTAGAGGATGCTTTGCATTTTCTGAATGAATGCAAAGTGTACACTGACTGGACGAGGCAGAGAGTGTGACATTTCCCAACAACAGGTCCCATTTAGGTTGATTCAGTGGCAGATTGCTTTTAAAATTGTATTGGCTCCAATCCTCATGCTGTGCAGTTGGGCTGTCCAACTAATGAAATCTTGTTGTTCCTAGTATCTGCTGAAGGGTCCCAATTCACAGTGCGAGAAATTACAAGATAGTGTGTTCCCTGGTTCAAGGACCACCCTCTCTGTAACCCACACACACTGCAGCAACAATGAATGTTTTGCAGCACAAAATCATGAGGCTACAATTCTTTACAGCCACAGTGTGAAAAGTATGCTGAATCTGACGGCTGTAAAATATATACAAGTCAGGTTAATGGTAAATTGAGCAGGTTGCTTGTTTTCTGGATGTAATTAGTAGTCTGTTTGACAGGGGGTGTATTTTAATGTTTATGTCCTAGCTCGGAAGACCTGTGATAAAAAAAAGGTACAAAAAAGTGGGTGGGGCCAGTGGACGTCAACATTACATCGAACCCTGAACCCAAAGTGATGCACACAGAGGAACGACCAACAAAAATATCAGCATCTGAAAGTATGGTGAACCTTTTGATTCAGTATGGCCTTCACTGCCTTCTCAACCTCTTCTGGATTGTTGATGTCCACCGTCCAGACGTGAGGCTTCCCAATGTACACTTCGGCGTACGGGTGCTGAGACGTGAGCTGGAAGAAAAGGTTTTACAATTAGATAAAGCATGTCTGTGGGTTAGGATTAAAGAAGAAATATTTCATTTTCTAGAGAGCAGGGAAGGGTTAGAACCTTTGGTAAGTTTTTTTCTAAACTGCTTCCTGTGTCCCCATTTGTGAGAGCCCTTCTCACTTTCTATCTGGTAGGTGTCAGAACAAAAAATGAGAGAAAAACCTCCTTATTTCCTATCTATAAAATGGGGCTAATTACAGAAAGTTAGAGGAAATCTCCCCATTCAACATCTCTTTGATGAGGCTTATTACAGGAAGGGCAAATCTCCCAATTCCATGTCCATTTGATGGGTTTAAGTAGAGGACCATGACAAGAAATCTCCCCATTCTGTATCTATTTGATTGGAAAAGAAACGTGAAATTCCCCCTTATTTCCTATTTGGCAGGGTTCCGTACAGGAAATGAGGCACAAGGTACAGTGGCTTTGTATACATCCATACTGGAATAGGAAAAAAAAGCCTTCTACAAAGATGGGGATGTGCAATTGTCTAAAATGTCTTTGTATTCTTCAGTATTAACAGTAACCTTTACTGAAAACACCTGAACTCAATTTGGAGAAGAGTCCCGATTAATTTGGTCAGAGGTAGGAATGATGGGGTTTGAGTACAAGGAAGGAGGGTGAATCTCCCTATTCTTTATTTGATGGGTTTCTGTACAGAGAGCAAGGGGAAAACCATTCCTTAAAAACCACAAGCAGCAATAGGGTTGAGGAAACTTTAGAACCTTTATAAAGAATGTATTGCTGTGAGTGCCTATAAGGAGATTTCCCTTCACTTTCAGTCCAGGAAGTGAAAACGCCAGTGTATGGGCAATAGGAAAGTGTTATCAACTTCAATAAAGGAAAACTCATACAAATGAGCAGAGAGAGGCCACTCCAGGTGGAAACATGTGAACAGTTAATCATGAGCTCACCACTGCTGCCTTGTTAATCATATGCATGATGAAGAGAACTGGAAAAAAGGCGCTGTGGAAAATGCTCTCAGACAAGCACCTTAGTGAAGGTGCATCTTTATTGGGTGAGACAAAGTAGCAAATATAATAAAATTGACCAGCCTGAAGTGGACAGTGTGACTTCAATGGACGGCCCGTCCGCTCTGAGGGGAGCTGAGATCAGAGAATGCTCCTGTCGGCTTCAAATCACGTGGTCTCAGCGTACCAGCATCCTGGGTGGTGTCACCATGGCAAGCGAAGGCAGTGTCCGGCGTTGGCTTCAGCTGGGAGCATATGTAGGGTTACCAAGACGACATGTTTTCACGCAGTTGCGCTTTGTCAAGTCTCACGCAACTGCGCGAAACATGTCGTCTTGGTAACCCTACATATGCTCCCAGCTGAAGCCAACGCCGGACACTGCCTTCGCTTGCCATGGTGACACCACCCAGGACACTGGTACGCTGACACCACGTGATTTGAAGCCGACAGGAGCATTCTCTGATCTCAGCTCCCCTCAGAGCGGACGGGCCGTCCATTGAAGTCACACTGTCCACTTCAGGCTGGTCAATTTTATTATATTTGCTACTTTGTCTCACCCAATAAAGATGCACCTTCACTAAGGTGCTTGTCTGAGAGCATTTTCCACAGCACCTTTTTTTTTCCAGTTCCCAACTTCAATAAAAGCAAGTCTTAACTTCAAAGTGAAGCTATTAGGAAAAATATAGAGAGGCAGCTAGAAATAACTTGTTTTTGAGGGTGCAGGTTCTGGGGCTGTCCTCTTGATAATGACTTCTCTACCAAATAAATCACTGACCTGGTACAAGCATGCAGCTCGAGGTCTTACAAGTTCTGCATACAACTAATACTGCATGAAGCTAAGCTGGGAAGCCAAAAAGGAGACTGCACCTCTAAAACATTGTGTCATCATTGGTAACGTTTTAAGTGTATGTCTGGCCAAAATAAAATAAATGAAAAAAAAGAACAAAAAAAACAAAAACCGACATCTCTGCAATACATCCACAGTTTGTCTCCAATAGTAGAAGTACCAACTCTGAAGCACTGAAATGCCAAGCATTGTCGTCAGCCCTGCTTGAGATCTCCCCTGCTGCACTACAGAACCCATTCCCTCTGTTGTAGAGATGAGATAAGGAGGTGGTGTTTTTTTGTAGCCCATCAGGTGGGAACTGAGGCCGGGATGACAACATTGCTTAGGATTTTAATGAGCAGATGCAGAGTTGTTAGCTCAAAATTAGGAGCTCAATGGATTTGACAGGTAAATGTGTATTCTGTACTTGGAAGTGTTTTTAAAGGAATAAAAAAAGGGAAATGTGTATTTAATGCAGAGATGTGCTGCACAGGTTTTTTTTTTGCTTGAATGTTTGCATGAAGTGTACTTACAGGTGAAACTCGAAAAAATTAGAATATCGTGGAAAAGTTCATTTCAGTAATGCAACTTAAAAGGTGAAACTAATATATGAGATAGACTCATTACATGCAAAGCAAGACAGTTCAAGCCGTGATTTTTCATCATTGTGATGATTATGGCTTACAGCTCATGAAAACCCCAAATCCACAATCTCAGAAAATGAGAATATTACAGGCAATCAATAAAACAAGGATTGTACATAGAACAATATCAGACCTCTGAAAAGTATAAGCATGCATATGTACTCAGTACTTGGTTTGAGCCCCTTTTGCAGCAATTACTGCCTCAATGTGGCATGGAAGCTATCAGCCTATGGCACTGCTGAGGTGTTATGGAAGACCAGGATGCTTCAATAGCGGCCTTCAGCTCTTCTGCATTGTTCGGTCTCATGTCTCTCATCTTTCTCTTGGCAATGTCCCGTAGATTCTCTATGGGGTTCAGGTCAGGCGAGTTTGCTGGCCAATCAAGCACAGTGATCCCACGGTCATTGAACCAGGTTTTGGTGCTTTTGGCAGTGTGGGCAGGTGCCAAGTCCTGCTGGAAAATGAAGTCAGCATCCCCATAAAGCTCGTCTGCGGAAGGAAGCATGAAGTGCTCCAAAATCTCCTGGTAGACGGCTGCGTTGACCCTGGACTTAATGAAGCACAGTGGACCAACACCAGCAGATGACATGGCTCCCCAAATCAACACAGACTGTGGAAACTTCACACTGGACTTCAAGCATCTTGCAGTGTGTGCCTCTCCATTCTTCCTCCATACTCTGGGTCCTTGGTTTCCAAATGAGATGCAAAAGTTGCTCTCATCAGAAAAGAGGACTTTGGACCACTGAGCAACAGACCGGGTCTGTTTTTCTTTAGCCCAGGTAAGACGCTTCTGACATTGTTTGTTGTTCAGGAGCGCCTTGACAAGAGGAATACGACATTTGAAGCCCATATCCAGGATCCTTCTGTGTGTGGTGGCTCTTGATGCACTGACTCCAGCCTCAGTCCACTCCTTGTGAAAGTCCCCAACACTGTTGAATGGCCTTTTCCTGACAATCCTCTCCAGGCTGCGGTCATCCCTGCTGCTTGTGCACCTTTTTCTTCCACACTTTTCCCTTTCACATAACTTTCTATTAATGTGCTTTGATACAGCACTTTGGGAACATTCAACTTCTTTTGCTATTACCTTTTGAGGCTTTCCCTCCTTATAGAGGGTGTCAATCATGGTTTTCTGCACAACTGTCAGGTCAGCAGTCTTTTCCCTGATTGTGATTCCTACCGAACCAGACAGAGACCATTTAAAGGCTCAGGAACCCTTTGCAGGTGTTATGGCTTAATTAGCTGATTAGAGTGGGACACTTTGAGCCGAGAACATTGCACCTTTTCACAATATTCTAATTTTTTGAGATTGTGGATTTGGGGTTTTCATGAGCTGTAAGCCATAATCATCACAATTATGACAAATCACAGCTTGAACTATCTTGCTTTGCATGTAATGAGTCTCTCATATATTAGTTTCACCTTTTAAGTTGCTGCACTGAAATAAATGAACTTTTCCACAATATTCTAATTTGAGTTTCACCTGAAGCACAGTGGACCAACAGTCAGGCTGAAAAAAGACAACAGTCCATCCAGTTCAAGATAATGAATACAGTTTATCAACTAGGGACATTATGTTTCACGCTACAGTAATTTTCCCAGTTCCTAGTGAAATTGGTCGCTTTTTCAGAAAGCTTGGTTCAGTTCCAAAATGGCTGCCACTTTAGACTCAAACTAGGCAATGAAAGGGCCTCTGATTGGATATATGTTGAACAGACTGTTTAGGTAGGCCCTCACTATGATAGGAAATCTAAAGCACCTTTTAAACACCTACTGGATACTTTGACCCCCTTCTTGCCAGGCCAATTTTCATCTTTCAGCATTATCAAACTTAGAATGACATTAACTCAGACATGTAACACTGTACCCATATGAACTTTTTATTTTTTGAGACAAATAGAGCTTTCTTTTTGGCAGTATTTAATCACCACTAGTTTTAATTTTTTTGTGCTATAAACTAAACAAAACTGAATTTTTGAAAAATAAAAATGTGTTTTTCTTAATTTAGTATAAAAATTTGCAAGTATGTAATTTCTCTTCATAAAACCTTTGACCAAAATATGTACTGCTATGTTTCTTTGGTAAAAATAACCCATATCTGTGTATATTATTTGTTCTGCGTGACAGAGTCTGAGTCTGCAAACTATGACACCCATCATTGAAAATTGATCACACCTGAGCTACTGATGGCCCATCTCATTTCTTGAGAGCCTAACATGGCAAGACAGTACAAATATCCCCCAAATGACTCCTTTTTGGAAGGCAGCTTAAAGCTTCCGCTTTAAAAACATTTTTCAGGCATGCTGCATGAATGGGAACACAAACATAGTGGGGTTCTCAAATTTGACTGCAAAAGTGGAAACATGCTTTAATGTCTGCAATGTCCTGATACAAAATGCCCTGGGGTGAGAACCAAACTATACAGTGCATTTATATAGTGCAAGCATATGGAAAAATTGCCAACGGTAATGTTTTGGCCAGGTACAGTCCTATAACCGTGCATTGGATAGTGCAGATAGTTATATAAAAAGAGAGGCAATATGGAAGCAGAGAGGAGAATGCATACGTTAAAAGGAAGAGTAGAAGGAGAAGAGAAGGAACATAAGAGGGATTAAAAAAAAAAAAAAAAAAAAAAAGGTAGGTACAGTAAAAATAGTTATCCGGACGAAATGTAACACTTGGCGATCTTTCCATATACTTGCATTACTTTCCATTTAGAGATTCTTACGCACGCCAGTCCTAAATATTGCTCTGGATCTAATCTCCACCTAGCCTCATCACCACTTCAAATTTTGGTGTAAACAGTCAATAGGCATTTCAACTACCACCAGATGCATCCACCACCACCTTGGGGGGAGAAAAACTACTATTAGGAACATCAGCTGTGCTACTCATTGTTGTACTTTGCCTTATTGATGGACATTCCATTTTGATATCTAGCATCATACTCAATGTCACATTCCATCTTTGTTCTTGCTGTAGGTTGTTGACTTTTCTTTCAATGACAAAAAGATTGTGAAAGAAATGTCCTAGATTGAGAAAACAGCATTACACAGCACTGAATAACTCACCTCTCGTAGAGTTGGTTTCCCTTTGAAGAAATCCGTATTTCTACTACTTTTTGGTGGACCAAATTTGGGGTTGAGGAAAGAACAGCCATTTGCAATGGCTTCCAACGGAGCCGGCCCTTCATAGGGGAATCCAAGGCCAACGAAGAGCTGAAACAAAAGTATCCGGATTACTCATGAATATCTGGGCAGCAATGTTCAAGCTATTTAGCACACTATAAATAAATGCAAATCTGCGCCAAGGCAAAAAGTAAATAAAAAAAAAAAAAAAAAGCAGCTGGCACTATACTCTGATACAAAGTACAAACCATTAAAAAACAAAAAGGGGTGGACTGACAACTCATGGGGCCCCCGGGCAACAGGGGATCATGGGGCCCGTGTCCTCACCCACACTCAAACCGCACCCAAAAAAGCCTATGAAAAATGTACCAGGGGCATCTCATGGGGCCCCCTACCGACTCCGGGCCCTCCAGCAGTGCCGAGTTCCCCAATGGTCAGTCATACACACACAGATGTGTTCAAAATAATAGCAGTGTGTTGAAAAAAGTGAATAAAGCTCAAAATCCTTCTAATAGCTTTTACTTCCATCCACACAAATGCATTGGGAACACGACACATTCTATTCCAAATCAAAACATGAAGAAAAATAGATCAAATTTGTGTTGTTACTCTAAAAAATTGAAGAAAAGTGAATATTAGACTGTTCAAAAAAATAGCAGTGTTTGTATTCTTCTTTACAAACTCAAACATTCACTATATAAAATGAAAAATGTTTGAAGATTTTGCTTTCCTTTGAATCACTTCATGAATATTTGGTTGTAGTCGCACTGTTTCTGAGAACTGCTGTACATCTGTGTTGCATGGAGTCACCCAACTTCTGGCCCCTGTGATCAGGTATTCCAGCCCAGGATGATTGGACTACATTCCACAGTTCTTCTCTATTTCTTGGTTTGGCCTCAGAAACGGCATTTTTGATGTCACCCCACAAGTTTTCTATTGGATTAAGATCCGGGGATTGGGCTGGCCACTCCATAACGTCAATCTTGTTGGTCTGGAACCAAGATGTTGCATGTTTACTGGTGTGTTTGGGGTCGTTGTCTTGTTGGAACACCCATTTCAAGGGCATTTCCTCTTCAGCATAAGTCAGCATGACCTCTTCAAGTATTCTGATGTATTCAAACTGATCCATGATCCCTGGTATGCGATAAATAGGCCCAACACCGTAGTATGAGAAACATCCCCATATCATGATGCTTGCGCCACCATGCTTCACTGTCTTCACAGTGTACTGTGGCTTGAATTCAGTGTTTGGGGGTCGTCTGACAAACTGTCTCCGGCCACTAGACCCAAAAAGAACGATCTTACTTTCATCAGTCCACAAAATGTTGCGCCATTTCTCTTTAGGCCAGTCAATGTGCCCTTTGGCAAATTGTAACCTCTTCAGCACGTCTTTTTTTCAACAGTGGGACTTTGCGGGGGCTTCTTGCAGATAGCTTGGCTTCACATAGGCGTCTTCTAATTGTAACAGTCCTCACAGGGAACTTTACACCTTCTTTCATCTTCCTGGAGCTGATTGTTGGCTGAGTCCGCGCCATTTTGGCTATTCTTCTATCCATTCAAATGGTAGTTTTTTCGCTTTCTTCCACGTTTCAGGTTTTGGTTGCCATTTTAAAGCAATTGCGATCATTTTAGCTGAGCAGCCGATCATTTTCTGCACTTCTTTATATGTTTTCCCCTCTCCAATCAACTTTTTAATCAAGGTACGCTGTTCTTCTGAACAATGTCTGGAACGACCCATTTTCTTCAGAATTTCAGACAGAAATGCACTGTAACCAGCATGTACAACATTTGCTGCCTTCCTTCCTTAAATAAGGGCAATAATTACCACCTGTTTTTCAAAGAATGACTGACCTCACTAATAGAACTCCACACTGCTATTATTTTGAACACGCCCCTTTCAATTAGTGATTCAATTACACAGAATCAGCAGCATGCATGTCATGACTGTTGGGTCTGTTGGATTTCTATTACTCTACTACACCTGCTAGTAAAATATTTGCCATGTAGAAATATCATCTCTACCAAAAACAGTGATTGATCCGGTTAGTGATGTCTGACTGCTACTATTTTGAACACAACTGTAAATCTATTACACACACAGCGGGTAAAATAAGTATTGAACACGTCACCATTTGGCTTAGTAAATATATTTCTAAAGGAGCTATTGACATGAAATTTTTACATGTTGGTAACAACCCATGCAATCCATACAAAGAAACCAAAACAAATAATAATTGAAGTATTGAATACACTAACTTAAATTTAATACTTGGTACAAAATCCTTTGTAGGTAATGACCGCTTCAATACACCTCCTGTATGGAGAAACTAGTCGCATGCATTTCTCAGGTGTAATTTCGGCCCATTCTTCCACACAAACACTCTTCAAATCTTGAAGGTTCCATGGGCCTCTTCTATGAACTCTGATCTTTAGTTCTTTCCATAGATTTTCTATTGGATTCAAGTCAGGCGATTGGCTGGGCCATTCTAGTAGCTTTATTTTCTTAGAAGCCAATTGAGAGTTTCCTTGGCTTTGTATTTGGGATCATTGTCTTGCTGAAAGGTCCACCCTCGTTTCATCATCATCCTGGTAGGTGGCAGCAGATTTTTATCAAGAATGTCTTGGTACATTTTTCCATTCATCCTTCCAAAGATATGAAGGTTGCCAGTGCCGTATGCTGAAAAACAGCCCCACACCACAATGTTCCAACCTCCACTGTTGGGATGGTGTTTTTAGGGTGATGTGCAGTGCCATTTGACCTCCAAACATGGTGTGTATTATGGCATCCAAAGAGTTCAATTTTGGTCTCATGTGACCAGACTATATTCTCTCAGTATTTTACAGGCTTGTCTAAATGTTGTGCAGCAGACGTTAAACGAGCTTCAACATGCTTTATCTTCAGCAATGGAGTCTTGTGTGGTAAGCGTGCATACGGCGGTTGAGTGCACTATTTCTTGTTTTCTTTTTAAATAATTGTACCTGCTAATTCCAGGTCTTTCTGAAGATCTCAAATGGTTCTTGGCTCTGACAACTTCTGATAATTCTTTTCACTCCTCTGTCAGAAATCTTGCGAGGAACACCTGGTCGTGGCTGGTTTATGGTGAAATTATGGGGCAATTATTTTGAAATCGTTCAGTTTTTTTCCTTGTGGTCAATCCAAACCCACATTCAATCACTATTCTATATGGTTCAGTCTACCAAGAAAATAAAGGGGGGGTTGGGGGAATACTACTTTAGTCTGGCTGCTAGTGATCCTGACCTTCACTTTGCCAATATGAAAATACAGAAACATGAAAGTGTGGCAAGTGTGTCACACTGCCTTAAAAAAAAAGAAAAAAAAAGAAAAGAAAAGTGGTAGTTTAAAAATGTCCATTTTTCTCATCTCACAAAAGTTGGAAGGAATAAAAAATCTCTACTGCCACCACACAGGAAATTTCTGAGTCACCCGGGGTCACAGGCGGACTTTGTGAAAGCTCTCCAGGTCTGTGCGTGCCACTCCAAGTACACAGCTCAGAGTCTGGATATTCTCCAAGTATCACATGACATTTCATAAAAAGGGACTCTTTACACTCTGCTGCAAAGAAAGTCACTCGAGCGCACATTTTGTTCTCCCCGTCCCGGAAACCCACATGGCTGAACAGACCTAAAGTAAAAAAAAGTGCCTACTGAATGATCTGTAAGGGGGGACATTTTAGAAGGCCACTTCATCTCACATAAAAGAACTTTGATAGGATTATAATCATAGAATTTTAAAATGATGGCTTATTGTATGGAAGGAAGTTTAGAGAAATGTGGCTGAGCGGGTACAGGCTGATAACATTGGTGAAGTATTTTTTTTTTAGACATTGCAACCGGCAAGATTGGCTTCAACAACATGGCGCAGCAGTCACTAGATGGCAGTATAGAAGCAGGCAGATGGGATGGAAACAGACAGACGTAGGTCATTCTGTTGCAAGGGAGCCCAAAAAGGTCTTTGGTGCCCAAGTATCATTAACTTTTGTCCTGTGCATACATGTAGAGACCAGAACTGGCACATGTATCTCTGCCCCAACAATAAATAACAGCTGGCCTACCAGATAAGATGTACAGGGGGTTGGACAAAATTATGGAAATACCAGGTAAAAGAACAAAACTATTACCCAATATGGTGTTGGACTGCCTTTGGCATCCAAGATGGCGGCCTGAATTCTTGGATGGTGGATAATGGAATTGGATACCAATCTTCATGCAAAAATCGTTCCAGTTCTCGCAGAGATGCCGGAGGCAGAAAACAAGCCCCACCTTTGTTCTCCTAAATTGACCATAGTGGCTCAATGATATTAAGGTCTGGCAACTACATCGCCCAGGTAAGATGTAAGACTTCATCTGCATGCTCAACAAACCACAATTTGAAAAACGCCAGCTGTGTCAATCGGAGCATTATCATCTGGGTAAACGGCGCAGTCTTCAGGAAACCATGTCTGCACCATGTGGTGGACAAGGTCGCCCAAACTTTTTACATAGCCGCTGGCAGTGACTTTGCCTTCCAAGTTGATGATGGGGCCTGCAGAATACCAAGATATGGCTTTCCAAACCAGGATTGTGTTCGCCACATGTAAACAGGCAAGGTGGTTGGGAAAAGTGTCAAGCTCGATTTTACAGACAATATGACAGTCTTCCATTGACTGCTAGTCCATGATTTATGGGTGTTGCACCATGCTGTCCTCTTCTGAGCATTAATATCGGTCACTAGTGGTTTGGCAGTTGCAGCTTGCCTGTGAATGTTTTGCTTATGGAGTTCCCTCCACAAACTTTTTGTGGACACGGGCTTTGGACGACAGATTGAGCTCTGCAGTCACTTTTGCAGTGGTTGTTTTCTTATTCTGGGTCACAATCCTGCGCAATGTACTTTTCTCTTTTGATCAGCTGACCATGTCGACCGTGCTTCTGCTTATCAGATAATGTTTTCCCAGAAACTGGATATGCCATCATACCTCGTGACACGGCAAATAAATTGACATCAATCACAAAGGCACCAAGTGACACCAATAATTTGCCTTTTGAAGCCCAGTAAGTTCTGACATGACTCCATACTAGCAGCGCACACAGTA